TATAGATAAGTAACATCAATCTCTCTTTAATGATTATTGGGCTAGCTTAAAAATTATTGATTTAACAAGTAGTGCACTCTACTAGTAGTTACAGTTCTGATTGAAGTCTTTTAGGCTAATTACTATCATCAATTAAAATAACTGATTTAYTTTCTTCATATATATGTATTTGGTTTGCCATCCTCAGTCTTCCGTGACAAAGTCATWTAAGGATTCAATCACACCCATGCAGTCCTTTAGACATAAATTGCTGTTTAAGTCTGGGACTGGGATTGAATCTACACTGCTCTCTGAGAAGGAGTTCAGAAAGCAAGAGGATCTTTTCTGAACCTTCTGTCAAAATGGGAAGGTCTCTCTATTAAACTTTGTTTGAAGCTTTCTTTCAGCCCACAATGTATAAGAACTGATTCCAGATACACTTGTTCATTTGAAATGCTTCTAAGTGTCCTGGTGTCTGACAGTATTCTAAGTGTCTGGAAGCCAGATCAAAATGTGTATTGCTGATAACTCCAGTTACCATGGCCACCCACTAGTCTTCACATTGTACTACAGGTCTTGTTTCTCAGTTTATTGGCCACAGAACAAAACTGGGATGTGGCTGCTTTTTGAATGAAATAGTGTTTGAATCTAACAGGGTCTTGGTCCTGAAGTCATCAGACCATATGTGAAATCAACAAAGAGTCATTTCTGGAGAGATACTTGTGGTCCCTGCGAGCCAAAAACTGCATTCAGTCCTGCRCACATTGCTGACATTGTAGTTTTGTTGTGCTGTTGGTGGGGGGAGGAGCAATTTAAAAAGGGAACTGTACCTACTGTTAATCCTGGGCTGTGTCAGGTTTGTTGTAGTTGTTTTCTTCTCTTAGGAACAATGGGAGAGTCATTACCGTGGAAAGCCCTCATAGAAGCAGGATCATCAGTGCTATCAATGCCATTCCTTGCCGCAGGGATCCAAGGTGTGATGATCCCCGAGGCACGGGAGATCGCTTGATTGAGAAGTACTTGAAACTGACTGCCCATCAAGGCCATTTGTTCTTCCTTCTGAATTGCTAAGAGCTCCTGCCTGACTGTAGGCAGGGCAGTGCAAATTGAGCTGTGTAACCCCTGCAGCTTTGGGTGGGACCTTCTGCTTCAGGCAGACTGTGAATCTGTGGATTCTTTGGCACATGGAGCTCTCATGTCCATTCAGGTTTTCTGAGGAAGTGTAGGTGGCCCTATTTATCCAGAAAAGCCCAAGATTGTGCAGCTACCTGACAACTAATTAGCCTTCCATATGTATGGGCAAAGTGTTTGTGGGCAATACAGGCCCTCAGATGCTGACAAAAGCAAAACCAAATAGTACATTTTGCACTGAACAGACTTCCTTGTGGAAGTTACACAGCAGTATTTCTTGAATTGCAGTAGGAGTAAGTTCTTCGGAAAAATTCCTTTAAAATCGTTTCCTTATTGTCTGTGGACCAGGGAAACAAAAAAGAGAATGGGGGTACTTTTCAAAAATTCCTGCTAGAAAAAGCACAGGTGGCCAGTTCTTCACACAGTCCTCGATGAACTGTTGTTCGATGAACTATTGTTCCTGCTCCTAGCTCTTTGATTCCATGAGGCTGGAAAACCCTTCATTGGAACTTGGCAAGTATAACATGATATAAAGTGACTTTTTTGTTACAACATTAGACAAAGAAACTCCAGTGCCTGGGGACATACTCTTCTTGTGGCTTCCTGTACCTCAAGAATCATGAAAAGTTTGATTTGAGGCCAGCACAGCATGAACTCAAAAAGYAGCTTAATCCAATTATTAGTATCCTGGTTTTTTATGAAATGTTGCGCAAAACGTCTTAAAATTTTGGAGTGTTCTAAGTGCTGCCTAGGTTCTCTGGGAACAGAATGGTTGAAATCTCCCACAAGCTTTGAATCCTGTTGGGATGCTTTGGGTAGGAAGCAGGTTCCCTCTAGTTCCAGAAACATTTTCTTTTCTGACATCCTCCTTGCCTAAGAAGATTCAGCCTCAAGTCCTGAGGAAACAAATTGACTATTGACTTGATAGTGAAATCAAGAACCCTTGGATTCCAAGTGGGAAARCCTTCCATTGATGTGAATTTGAAGGAGAAATGACATCTTGCTTCTGAGCCCGTTTTTCAATCCACATCTTTAAATGCTGGGTTCAGTCAGCCTGTTGTGTTAATTTTGTTTAAGAGACTAAAGGGACTTAACTACTTTATTAAGGGTAACTTTAATTGACTCCTGGTAAATTTGTCTGTTCCAAGCAAATTTTTATAAAGCTGATAGAGCAGTTATTTAAAATTAAGCGAAACAGAAGCAACCTAGTGTGTTTACTGAATGATGTAGTTGCAACATTTGTGTAGTATCATGTCTACAGGAACCAAATACCTGTCTTCTAACAATTTAAGTAAACCAGCAATAATCTTCAAATATTGGTGATCTATATTAAAACTTGCTTTTTAGAGAATTCAATTATATATGCATCAGAACATGGTGAATAAAGCCCAGCTTAAACAGATTCTCCAACTACTACAGAACTGAAGCTGAACATCTATCAGAGGTTTCTATCCTGTGCTGACTGACTTTTGATCAATGTGTTTAATTTCCAGCTTACAGTGACTCTGCTTAGACTTGAAACACATATAAAAAGTAAATAAAAAGAAATGTTTAAAATAAACTAAATCAGAACTTCAGTTTGAAGCAAAATCGAAAAATTACCTGAAGTTTTAGAGGTTTGATAGACAAGTTTTTGTAGCAATTTTTTTTTTTTATAACTTGGTCTCCATGAATGATTACATTTTTCTTACTATTAACAAAAATCTTCATTTTTGCTGGTGTAGTTACATCCCTTTTATAARTGAATGATCTATTACTATGTGTCAAGGAATGATAAACTACTGAAGAGGAAAGAGTCTAATAAATGTGCTTGGAGAGAGGAATTGCAGATATGAAGCTGACATTCTTTTCATACAGATAAATATTTCTGTCATGTAAGATGAGGCCCTGCTTCAAAGACTTACTTTGGTCTCAGCAAGAGAGAAAACCAAATGAATCATCCTACCATTGCAGAAATTTAAACCCTTCTCCTCCCACTCTTGTATCTTCCCCCTTCACTTTCACACACCTGTATAGGAAAGAGGTTTCGTCAGCCTTTTGCTGGACAAAATATAGCATTTTTTCTCCTCTATAGTTTCCATATAGGTAGAGGAAATAAATCTCTATGACAGAAAAGGAAGATACTTACTCTAAAACACTTTTTCTTTATTATTTCCATTATATACACTTTGAAATAGGAGAAGCTTGATGAGCAATGTATTTTGCAAATATATAACAACCATTTCCATCCTGATAATTTTTGTTTTAAAGGCGGTAGAAAAGCACTTAAGATACATGTGATTTTTGTGTAATGTTCTTTAAAGCTTTACAGGGGAACCAAAGAATAATATTAAAAAGTACATAGCAGGAAGAAGAAGAAGAAAACCACTGTGACAAATCTTGGCGAAAAAGGCATGTCATCCTGACTTATTAATAGCTTTCAAAGAAGATAGGAAGAGTCTATTTTTTCAAAGGTTTTGTACTGAGAGGAGAGGAAAAATTATGAATACTGATCTATTTTTAAGAAAGGCAAATGTATTTTTATACAAGAGAGAAAAAAACAGTGTACATAATCTTATGTGATTTTCCTCCCAGTAGTGTTGGATTAATTAGGAAATCTTACAAGGTATTTTCAAGTTGCATTATGAGCATAATATCTCATTCTGTTTCAATTTTTCTTAGTTTTTGTATAATTTGTACATTGTATTTATTATTTTCCTTTGTTCATTCACTTTTTTTATGTGTGATATCTTCATACCTTTTTCTTTTTTTGCTTTAATTACAGTTATGTCACTTCCAGTTCAGATGTGTTTGCTAATTCTTATGTATGGATAATAGAAAAAGAAAAATAGGCTTTACTGTGTTGTGTATTGATATGGAAGATGGAGTCTGTACAAAACTTGGTAAAATGAATGTTAGTGGTCTCAGTTATGATGATCTAGGTATACAAATTAGTCTGTTTTTATACTGATATTTATCCAGTAAGCTTTGAGTAGGATGATGAACATGAAAAGAAATAGCAACCTGTGGATTACTAGGTGCACTTAAACTCAAGACACATAACACATCCACCTTCATAAAAACAGCAATCATCTAAAACAGATGCTTGCATAAAAGCCTCAATTACTTTATCCTCAGCTGCACTTGTAATAGAACCTGGAAAGAAATTTAAAAAAAAAGAGTAACACAAGGAAAAAGTAGTTTGAGAAGCTCAGCATGGTGTCACCGAAACTGCGGGAAAAAGAAAACCCTCTAATACTATATTTGGAGTGAYAGAGAATCAGGCATTACTTTTKTTACTGGCCAGGATGTTGTTCTGGCCCGGATGTGCCCCAGAAATCTACACATAGCCCGGGTGTTCTGAGAAAATCATTCTAGGATACATGGATTTTACAAGATTTCTCCCAAACTTTAAACAGTCAGAACTCATCAAACTCTATTGGCTTGATGTTCATTGGTCTAACGTTGTGCAGTTCTCAGTATTTCTGTTCCTATTGGATCTGGATTTCTTCTCCTCTGATGCTAATTAGGTGCTCCTTCTTATCTTTCTTTTCTTAAACCAGGTGTTCTGACCASACCAGGAGTGATGTTCCATTGATGGCTCGTTGATAAGTTCTTGATGGCTTTTGATGGTCCTTCAGTGCCACTCCTGGGTCTGTTGAGATGTTAACTTCATCAGGCCTTATTGGATGGAGCAATGCCTTGGAAAGAAACTTKCCTTCAGGGTAAAGGCAAACATGATCTCTGACTGAAGTTATGTAAAAATTTTTTAAACTGATATAATTTCCAACAATTGGGAGAAAAATTTAAGCAAAACCTATATAGAATTAGTACAGAATAAAATGACAACTCATACAATTATTTTTTACCACTCTGCTTTGAAAATTCCGTAAGAATTTATGATATGTTTAAAGCAGGAATTTCATTTCCCCACAGCCCTGTGATACTCATTGGGATTCAGGCTTCCTGGAGATCATACAGCAAATGGAACCAAATTGCACCAGAAGAATGGATACATAACTTCACAGTAATTTCWATAGGTACCTCCCACAGCAGAACCATCAAAATATAATAATTCTATATATGTATTTGGCAGAATGTGATCCTCTCTACTGCATCTATCGTATGTCTTCATGCAAACAAACACTGAACAAACAGTGCTCATCAGTGTGTAGCCAGCTGATGAGAGATGGAGACACCTATTTAGARGTAGTAGTATTTTCACAAAATACCTGTCCTTAGTGCTTTAATATTTTTCTTGAGGGGAAATTAAATAATACCTTCTAAATTAAACTTGGGAGCAAACATTCATGCAAGGGGACTAAAAGTCCCTGACTTTTAAAAAAGCACTGGATTTTGACATGGCATCATAGAATTACTTTGGTTGGGAAAGGCCTTTAAGATCATCAAATCTAACCATTAGCTAGCACAGACAAATCCACCATTAGCCATGTCTCTCTGTGTCACACCTACATGTCTTCCAAATACATCTAGTAATAAGGACTTTGCCGCTTCCCTGGACAGCCTGTTCCTGTACTTGACAACCCTTTTAGTGAAGAAATTTTTTCTAATATGTTTCTCTCTATATGCATCATCTAAAATTTCAGTTCAAATATTCCTTACTAGCAGTTACTTTCCTCTGTCACTTGCTAATGTTTGCCAGATTATTGGTGCAGAGCATTGTTTTTTCTCTAGTTTTTTATGCTGATTTGTAGAATTCAATTAAATTTAGTGCAGATGTTCTTAGCTTGATATGTGCAATTCTTCATTGCTCAAAAGATCTTAATCTGGTCTGATTTCTCCCACAACTTCCTCTTGCATTGGTAGATGGAGTAAAAAAATCCACGTTTAGAWACTTCTTGGTACTGTGACTGAACATTCTTGTGGGCACAAATGCCTAGGTAAAGATCGTTGAGGCTTTCCTGTGCTTGTTGTTTCAGACTTAACAGAACCGTAAYACATGCTGACTGTTCATGTAATGAAATTCTGTAATCTACTGTCTCAAAATAGTTGTTTTCAGTCTGTTTATATTTGATAATGTTATTGGAGCAGTCAGCCTGAACACTCTTCCATAGTTTGCAGCCTACACGTAACAGTCAGACAATATGTATTTGCTAGTATATAGTTAATATGGAGAATAAAGGTCACTTTGTARGTCTCATGAAGATTTAAGAGCTCATTAACTCACAGATTCTCAGCATCTTCATGTTAAATCTTTTCCTTCCTTCTCAACTCAGAAGGAAACTATGAAAATGTGGCATCTAGGTTCAATTCCAGAAAACAGATAGGTAATGATCACCACAATCTCCAAGTGATAGTATTTAGTATTTATTATAATTGCAGGACAGTTTCTTCCAATTTTTTTTTCCTGTGCCTTCCGGTATCTTTTAAACATCTTGAATATTTCCATGTACTGTGTATGTTTAAAATCAAAATTCGCATGAACATCTCACAGGTAAGCGGATAGCTCTAAAATGCATATTCTTCAGCCTTCCATAAACATGCATTTTTACAATATGCTGAGCAATGACTGACAGCATTTTACTGTGCTGTTTCACATCCAACATATGAATTTGTAATCTGGGAACACATATCTTGTTACCAGAGTTGATTAGTTTACTCTTTATACTATTTTCTGCACCCTGAAGAATCTATAATAAAGATGGGTTACAAAGCAATATGTCATGTTTTAAACAAACATGAAGGATTATCATTCAAGTGTTTCATTGTGCAAAACATATTCCTGTTAGATCAGAGTTAGGGTTTTTTTTTGCTTTTTTCCCTTTTTGTGGTTTATTTGGCTTTATTTTTTTTTTGTTTGGTGGGTTGGTTTTGTTTTGTTTTACTTTAATTCTCTTCTACAGTGATAAAAAATATACAGTATGAAATMATGTAATCATTGGGAAAARTTAATAATATTGCATGGAATTTAAGTCAATATTGAAAAATACAGGAAAGTTGCTTCAAACTGTTCTAGCTTGAGTTTGTAATGAGTTAAATCTGAATCTGAAATAAACCAGACAGCCTATCAACAAGGATACTGCRGAGAGCAAAGAAAATGCAGAAAGAAAATTGCTTGAAAAATACTGAGGTAGATTTTTCCTGGTTTCAATCTTAAGTGGATTTGGTTTCACTAAGAAAAAAAAAAAATTATAAGTTCCTGATGTTAGGAGAGGTTTACAGTTAACCCCCAGAAAATCTTGCCATTCAATGAAGTTGTAACTGCTTGCAGAAATTTTCAATCTTTGCAACAGAATAGTACCYGAATATCTTGGAATTCAAGACAGGGTTTTTATGTACTATAGGAGGATGGATGAAGTTTATCCTTGAAGTTTTTGGTTTTTTTCTGTGATTCCAGAGAATCTGAAGATAACATTTTTAATCATATAGGTAGAAAATAARTCTTCCTTTCTTGTGTAGACAACTTATGAATCAGAGGAGGCAAGTAACACGGATTGCCCAATATCAGCATCAACATGAATCCTGTTGATGGGAGGAGRGAATGCCAGCTGGGGATTTAGATTGCAGCTACATGTGTGGCAGTAGTGGGGCTGAAGCTATTGCTGCCTCTGTCTTCATGCTTGCTGACAGACAACACAGACAATACAGAGAATAGAAATTTTCATTTCCCCTTGAAGTTGCTAAACAGAGCTTAACGAGTAACTGGCAAAATAGATAAAGGAATTTAAAAATAGACACACAGATGCTAAATGTAACTGTAACCAGTGGACAAATGGGTAATGAGGAATATAGTAGATTTTATGGCAAAGGAGGCTTGATAGTCTATGTACCTTGCCCTTTGCATCATTTTCGGAATCCTGTAAAGACACCTAGCGGCACACTAAATGGCATTTGATGCTTGACAGATGACACAGCTCTTGGACARGTCCTTCTTGGTGCTCATGAGTGTGTGGATATGACAGTGTGCGTGACATCCATTTTATTGTAAAATAAATAGAACTTTTCTTCCTATAAGGTCYCATCCTGAGCTTTGCTGCCAGGGTTGCAATATTATTTCAAATATAGAGATCTGTGTAGCAAAGGGAATGTTCAAAAAGGGATAAGGATAAGAGGAAATAAGACTGCAAATAAATAAATCGGGACCTCTTATGAGAATGTCTGTTACTYCACTTGACTGGAACACAGCTCTCTTAAGACTCCTCCACTAAGTCTGAATTGTAGTGAAAGTGTAGTTGAAACACAGATGCATGTTCTCACATGATAATTAATTAAACTTGTCTAACCAGCCGCAGTGGTGTTGTGTGAAATKGGGGTGCTGAATGAGGACAAAAGGGATGTTGAGGTTAAAGTCTCTTATTTCACCAAAGACAGAGGCAGATCTCTTGATCTATCTACAAGATACCTATTTACCCAGATAAGGCATATGATGAGTTGTCAGATTATTTATGCTAGTGTATGCCTGTTGCAGTGTAACTACCTTATTGAAAATTTGCTTTGGCTGTTCACAAATGGAAATGGAAAAATGGAGAACAGTTATATAATRGAGAGTCACTTCTGGCAGGTGAGGTAAATTCAACCTGATTTACAGGGAAACTGTTGTTTTMCTTTACAAATGTGCTCTTTCTTGCCATGTGTATGTTCTTTGCTTTAATTTTGTGATATCTAAACTTGTGCTTGTAAGCAGTTTCTTCAAGGTGGTTGGGTGCGCTGTAGTTTTAACCACCCAAACASTACTCAGAGGTACACAGCAAAGGGACTGGAGACAGCAGTCTTAAATTACAGCAGTGAAGATTCTGGTTCAATATAAACARCAGCTTGTTTCTGGTGAAGAAAATGAGCTTCCCAGAAACTGTGGAATTTCCATCTTCAGGCATTCTCAAAACTGGACAAGTCCCTGAGCAGCCCTGTCTAAGTCTGAAGTTAGCACCGCTTTGAGCACTTCAGAGGTCCCCTCCCGTGTAATTTTCTCTATGAACATATTAAGCATTTCTTTACTATCCTGTTAAGAAAATCCTAGTTATTTAATGTCTTCTCCTTCAGGGCTGAGCATTCTTCTCTGTTAAAGCTATTCTTAAACAACTTTTGAAAACTTATATAAACTCATGAGACAGAAGCATTATTTTCCTATAAATAAATTTCAGGGAAATTCATCCTACCATATTCTAGTAAAGTCAAAACAGTACTAATAATATCAAAAATGAAAGGTGTAGTAAGATGGGAAAACTATTATCTAYACTGCCACTAGCTAATGTGTACCAAAAATATTGTTCAGAATTATTTCAGAGYGTTAAACTGGTCTCTCCAATAAATACAAACAAGATGTAACTTTTGCTCCATAGACAGCTGTTCCTTTCTTCCACATCCTTCCAGGAAAGTGTTCACACCAGCAGGGTCTAGGAATAAGCAAGGGTAGSCATTCAACTACAGGCAACCACATTAGTTGAAAATATATTTTTCCTTCTGTACCAACTCTTTAAGTGTGGGAACCAGTTTCATTCTTCTGTTTTGAGCTGTTTGGGTTCATCTCAACTGATCAAGGAGTGTGAGAAAAATAAGAAGCAATGTAATTAATTATACAGGCATTTTTTAAGATATCTAATGTGGCTAATTTGCATACATTAAGTAAGTATTTTGTTACTGGTAGCGTATAATTTTGAAGTTGCTGTTTATTGAAGATACAATATCTAAATTAGAGTTTGTAATTATTTGTGAATCTCATCCAGAACCTATTATTAACACTTGCAGAATATAAGAAGTTATATTCTATCCAAATCTTTGACTTCAAAATCATCATAATCCTGCAATAAACAGGTTTTAGTAAATGCACAAAGTCAGTCAATTCTCACCCAGGCCTAAATAATTTCAGATTTTCATTACATACCTGTTGCCATCTGTGCAGAAAGGCTTAAATTTTTTTAAGGTACTTCTATATTGCTTAAGATTCAGTGAAAGAAATGTGGATTGGCTACACATCTCTAAATCAGAAAGGACAGAAAACAATTAGTAATTTGAAACTTAGTTCTGTATTTTTTTAGTGTTCAATATTTTTAATAGTTTAATTAATGTGATTCAGTAGTGAACAAGACATGGAAAAAAGGGATGAAGCTTTATTTTTAGGACGGAGTGGAGACCTTTTGTCTGATTGAAAGTCTACTTTCTTATGCTTAGTATGATATGATATACCTATTATCTTATGGAAAAGAAGAATGTATCCTGGTAGGAAGACTGAATTGTAATGTCTCTGGAGTATCAACTTGAAAATAAACCCTTTTCACATACAGACGGGCATACACAGGGTTGGTCAATGGATAAAGAGCTTTCAAGTATCAAATCTGCAGGTCTGACTAATACTGGAGAAGGCTATTGTGAGACTTGCTTGAATAGATTTGAAGAGCACTAAGTACATCCTGATGGGAAAACATTAATAACATTTAACTGGGTCCAGACTATATCCCAGCTGAATGGGACCTGAGAGTATCCTTCTGTATACCCTGGATTATTTTGCCGTGCAAAATATGTRCAGTCAAGCAGGAGGAAGCCAGCTACATTTTCCTGTCTCCCGAAGTCTGCATGGCTAATGTATGAGAACTGTAGAATTGCCTTCAGAGTGCCTCTGTTGAGTGTTTAAACTCTGGAAACATATTTACGATGGCAATGCACAGTGCCTTTCCAGTCTTTTCAAGTGGCTTGCCCAGAAAGTATTCCTACTCTTCCATATCTGGGAGTGTATAGAGTTTATGCTCCAGACATCTTTGGAGAAAAAAAAATAACCACTTTGGAGATGTGGCTGYCATTATATTCTTCCATACCTTGACATTGTGATACTGCCAGAAAAATGGTTTTGAATTCACTTTATATTACAAAAATAAGGAGATGGTGTTAGAAGAAGGATAAAGGTGGGAAACTCATGTTATGGGATGAACAGTAAAGAAAATGAGGGAGGTCTCTACACTTAATTACAAGAGTACCTACAGAAATCTTCAGTCTTCCAGTGAGTCACAAATGGATTGACACATATGGTGAATATGTTTAAGCGATACCATATTTAAAAGTGGCACCAAGAATATAAGCTACTATGCATTTCAAAAGAAGRTACATATTAATGTTTTACACATGGCTGTTAAAATAGAGCTGCGAGATGTCAAAGATGAGACAGGAAAATAAGAACTTCCTAGTATGAGAGGAGTATTCAGCATGACTTTCCTAATTTGGGAGACAGCTAATACTTCACCAGAGATGCTCTTTTACTTCAATTTGATCTCACTAGCTGAATATTTACATTTCTTCAGAGACTATGGTTTCACAAGTAACAGTGGAGGAATGCATTCCTGCCTTGCAAACCTMTTTTTGCCCAAGAAATTGAGAACTTGCCTCAGCATGGTATGTATGAGTTTTGAAGCACAGGGATACATCTTTCTGTTGTACTTCTACTCTGCCAGCCATTTCAACTCAGCTGGCCAAAATAGCTCCGTTCTGACAACTGAGTATTTTTGAGTAATTTTATCTCCATATTCCAATGTCCCCAGGACTATTCATGGTATAGCATTTGCAGACTGTAATTTTGTGTGAATCGAAGCTATCCACTTGCTCCAAGAAACTTGGTGAGGTCACACCTCAAATCCTGTGCTCAGTTCTGGGCCCCTCAATCCCAGAAAGACATTGAGTGGCTGGAGCATGTCCAGAGAAGGGCAMTGGAGCTGATGATGGGTCTGGAGCACAAGCCCACTGAGGGGCAGSTGAGGGASCTGGGGGTGTTTATGCTGGAGGAAAGAAGGCTCAAGGGTGATCTTTTTGCTCTCYGAAAGGGGGTTCTAATTGGTGGGTTTGGTCTCTTCTCTCCCAAGTARCAAGTAACAGAACAAGAGGAAATGGSCTTAAGTTGTGCTGGGGGATATTTAGATTGGATATTAGGAAAAATTTCTTCCTTGAAAGAGTTAGCAAGCACTGGAACAGGCTGCCCAGCAAAATGGTTGAGTCACCCTCTRTGGAGGTATTTAAAAGACATGTAGATGTGGCAGTTAAGTACATGGCTTTGTGGTGGACTTCTTAGTGTTATGTTAATGATTGAACTCAACCAGCTTAAAGAGCTTTTCCGACCTAAATGATTCTATTATTCTAAATTATAAATGAGAGATCATATCTTTGGTAACAGCTTTAAAAACAAAATCTTCAAATACACCTCTATCTCCTAAACTTACCTTCATTTACATATMATTTGTAATCTATACCATGTAGTAAACAGGATACTTTATGAGTTAACAGTAGTATCCAATCTCTTCCATTAGTAGCAGATCAAAGCTTCATCTYGCACATGTTTTCTAAAAAGTAGATGTGAGGCAGCATTATTAYCTGTATTGTGTAAGAGTACTCACAGCAAAAACATCCTCATCATCTTAYTGTAGCCCAGAACAAATTGATGCAGAAGTGTCTGGCCAGGTTCATTGGATTTTCACCCCAGTAGCAAGAAGATGTACTATTCCCATGGCTGACATCCTGAACCTCTACCTCCTTTTCAAACTAATGTAAGTTTYATATCAATATGTCTTCTAATTAAAAATTTTCAATCTGCAAAATTGAAATAACTGAGTAATGTGGCCAACAAATGAATATGGTGCAGAAAAGTAATCTTCTTATCCCTAGACTAGAGAACTACTCTTATAATTGCATTAATAGGAAACAATTGTGTCTGTTCACGGGGATTTTTTGTGCCTTTTTWAAAAAAGTAAAGTAACTGTAGAGATAATTGTGGAGTCTTGCACTGTTATTTAATTATGGAGAGTTAACTGCCTGAAACAATCATCAAGATGCAAACAAGGAACAGCCTGTCTATGATATGGRGAGATCTGAGAAGTTTGGTTTATTTGAAAAACAAGATTTCAATACTGCTACTTGATTCCACTTTTGTATTCAGCAGTGGTTTAATGATAACATGGTAAAGAACAGTTATAGATTCAGTAAATCATTCAGTAAAAAGGCAGTGAGAAGAGGTGAGAGAGAGGTGCTTGGATTCAGCTCATAGTTAGTTTTCTCAGGAGGAGCCTAARGGCCTGGAAAGTGCTTGCACAACAAGAAAAGTTTATGACCAGTGAAATCACAGAACGTCTACACTCGGGATGTCCATGTACAATCGATAAACTCAATGGATCTGACAAGCCTACAGGCAGTCACTTTGCTAGGCAGTCAAAAATTAATGTGAGCTTGAAAGAASTAAAAAATGAGTGGGAAATACCCTRTTCACATCTCTCATTCTCAGAAGATGCTTCAGGACTGGTTCAAATTAAGCTGAAGCTATGCTATTTTAAACTGGTCTTGCCTTTTTTTTKCCCTTTTGATGTGCACTCCTACTGATTACCCTGTGTTGGATCTAGTGACAGTGAAGTTGTGTGGTGAGTGGGAGCTGCCTTTTTAATGAAAACATATCTGTAGAAAAACAAAATGGGATTTTTTATTTGGATCAGCTTACTAGGAAGGGTGGGGAGGAGATAAGAAGAAAAATAAATGGTTGGACTGCCTCTTCTGACAGCAATGGTGTGTCTGGTTAATTTAACTCCAAACCAGCATGAAGTGAAGAAGGAAAAAAGATCTTTTTGGTCAATAATTTGAATACATGTGCATTCACCAATGTGTCTTTTATTACAGTGTGCTGAATTTAAAGGAAAGAACAAATGCTTGTATCTCAGAGCAAGTATTTGTAACAGCACGTAGTGCTGCAAAAAAAACATAAAAGTAACTTGATCTAATTATGATCAGTTCACTCTAGGTAAGAAGGCTAAGAGATGAATGAAGATGGTGAAAAATGAGACATAATTTTCTTGGGTTGGATTAGCTTTACTTATTGGTAAAGAATTRTTAATTAGCTCTTAGACATTTAACCTAGTTATGAAGACTGACTTGCACAATTTGCATATATTTGCTCCAAGATGCAGTCATCTCTACTTAAATGCAAAAACATCTGCTTTTTAATATCACATGTAATAAAATAAAAAAGTATATCTAAAATATATCTGCTTCAGATGAGATTCTAAGAAATTACATATTTCTGAATACAATAATACCTGATTCTGATGCTATGTAACATTGCACTTGGAAAAAACATAATATAAAGGAAAAGTATACAATTTTGAAATGTTTGTTTATTTGGCTGTTTGATTTACCAAGCACATCAATCCAGCATGGTCTAATATAATCTAAATACTACTACAATATTGTAATTATACTTAGGTCAACTTGCAAGTGCTTCAAAGCCAAGTAAATTAAGAGCTTCCACACAAAATTACCTGGTGACACGTTAAGGGTATGAGAATTTAGCAGAAAATAAGACCCCTCGAGTTCCCCTTGCCCTTCAGAGATGAGAGGGCCTGAGTGTGGCTGGGTTTGATTTCTGATTAAAACCAATTTAGAACTCTAAGTCTGGTTAAATTCAAAACAACAACTTGAAGACCAAAGGGATGGAACAATCACATTATGGGTAGGGTTTTGTGGATGTGGTTGTACCTGCATTACAAATGCAGGTTCTCCTTCATTTGCATCCCAAAGGATGCTTAAGTTATTCAGACAATGGGGTTAATGAGGGTCTCAGTTACTTTTGGTCAGGATTTATAGCYGGCAAGAGAGGTAGAATAAACACTTGGTCCTCCTTCACATACTGAGATTGCAGTAAAGGCTGACTGACCTTCATCACATGGTTTTTGTGTTCATCGTTATCTTCTTAATGAACCAGAGTTCTTCTGTCCTGGTGAAGAGAGTATAACGATTGGCTGGTACAAGTGTGTGGTATTTTTCTGTGCCTCACTGAAACTGCACATCCAGCCTCTCCACTCCAGACATCTTCTGTTGTTTAGTCTTGTTTGAGCCGGATTCAAGATAGGCAAATGGCCCAGCTCATGTTTTCCTCAACCAGCCACATCAGTCCTTCACTGTGTCAAAGTAACATTGTATAATTCTTACCATTTGCCACACCTGGGATTTTATAACCACTACAGAAATCAATCAATATAGTTGGGCTTTAATTTACTGCAGAATTCATGTTTCTATTTTTTTCTGTTTAAATTAATTAGTGCTATAAGTGAAAGATTCAAAAACTTGCAAATAAATTCAATTATATTGAATTACCACCATCCTACCTTGAAACCTGTCAAGGACTGCCTCTGGTGTGTAATTACTTTTATGACCCAGAAAATAAATACCAGTTAAGGTGATGTGTTAAGCAGTGTATCAAATGTCTTGCTCCTTTATCCTAATGGCTCTGTGCTGTATTCAGCATGGTACAATATTTTTTTAGTACAACAGTAGTATTAAGAGTTGTCAAATAACATGTACAAACGCCATGCCTTTTCCRAGCACTTCAAAAAAAGGATAAATGAGATCAAGAAGTAATACATGTACTTTGCCTTGTATGACTGCCAGAGGCCCTCTCAGCTGCTCTCTCACTCCTCCTCAAAAGACAGCAGGAGGAAATAAGATGGAAAAGTTCATTGTCTGAGATAAAGGCAGTTTAACCAAAAAAGCAAAAGCTGCACATGGAAACACAGCAAAAAAAAGAGGAAYTATTCCCTGCTTCCCCTTGTCAGGCAGATGTCTTTCCACTGTCTTAGGAGCCAGGCCTCAGCTTTTGTAGGGTTGTTTGGAAAGATCAGCAACATAGTGACCAATATAAGCTCCTGCTGCTTCTTTTCCCCCCTTTTATTGCTGAGCAGGATTTTGCATGATTCAGGGTCTCTCTTCCATCAGTTGGGAGCTGCTGTCCCTTGCCAATTCTTGCTCACCTGCAGCCTACTGCCCTTTGCTGGTGGTTGAAGGCTGTTGGAGAGAAAACCTTGATACTGTTCAAGCACTGCTCAGCAGTAGCCAAAACACTGGTGTGTTTTCTAACCACAAATACAAAGCTTAGCATTGTGAAGGCTGCTCTGAGACAAATAGCTCCATCCCAACCAGACATCACATTCTTTTAGTCAGGGCTAAAACTTGTCATTCTTTTCCCCCAGGAGTATGGCAGGCTTCATCTCCTGTATTATTATTTATGTATTCACCTTTCCACGAAAATGGCAATGCACATCTGAAGATTAATTTGCTAAATTCAGCTATTCATATTGCACATTCTTTGTGCCACCCTGTGCTTTTCTGTCACAATCAAACATGTTGGAAACAAAGTTTTGCTTCATTCCTTTTCTACCACTTGAAAGATAAGGCATGAAAACAAGCACAAGCATAGGTGAGTGCAGTTTCAGGTGGTAGACACTGTTTCTTAATGCTTAAGTAGATATACAAATATAAATTCCTGCTTGAACGGTCTCACACAGGGCCAAAAAGGCCAAGTGCCACTGTGGAAGAAACAAGGGAAAAATCAGATGTAATTTACTTAGATTGCAGCAGATGTAGTATTATTTGGGGAGTAATAAAAACTTGGATGTAGGTCAACACAGAAAAAATTTGATTAAGAAGTGGAATCACATAAACACTGAAGATGGTTGCAAAAGAAAAATGCCAAGAAAAAGTTAGGTACAGCGTGAGGGCTTTTCCCAGTTTAGTGAAGACTGTTTGGAAAAATGGGAAAAAACTTTAATGTTGTAACGCAACAGAAAAATTATGCAAGTGATTTAAATTGCCAACTAAATGTTACTGCAGTGTACTTTGGACTGAAATGGCATGAATGAAGTAGTAAGGRATAGCTCCAGGGACATCAGGCTCATCTCCACTCTACGTGGTTGTCAAGAATATTCTCACTCTTAGTCACTGGAGAGAACTTTTGTGAACCTCCCCTTCACTGAAATTTTCAGTGGGAGTTTTATTTGTCTAAGTCATTAACTGCCTACCATGATTTGGCTTAATGACAAAAGTATTGATGAACTTCATGGTGAAGTTTTTCCAGAAGGTTTTATTTTACACAAGTGAAATAATTGACCTTGTTWGGAATGGATACAACAGAGGTCCCAAATCCCAGGAAAACTAAATAAATCTAGTTTTATTTATTTTTTTTTTTAGCATATATATATATGCTAGAGAGACAGGTAACTATTTTTTAAAAAGGAGGGTCTGGCATAGTAATAAAAATACTAGTAAGTTTTTGCACAAACATCAGAAAACAGAATAAAAGAACCCCAGTATACAACTTCTGTTGCACATTCAAGGAGGAGCAACATTTCCCACTTGAAGCTGTATTTGTTGTGAAATAAGGATCAAACTATCAGTGCTCCATTCAATGSTCTATTCAAATGCTCCATTCACTATTCTAGTCTTAGTATAAAGTCATTGAATCTGGAAATCCATCAGAGACACAAGGAGATGCAGATTCATATATGCATGCACTAATCTGAATTACCTGCTCCTTGATCCAGTAACATCTTTCTCTTTTAAAAATAGAACCTGATAATATTCCTATTTGTTTCACAGGTCCTAGTTCTGTACTGCCTTTTATGAGGTATATATATCCTGTTGAGCAGAATAACTCTATCAATGCTTTTGTGATAACTGTTCTTTATCTCTATTTACAGCCTTGSTCATTATTTTGCATGAGAAGAGTTTGAGTGTACCTTGTCACTAACTCCAAAGTGATCAAAGCATGTCTTGGGATTGTGGAGAAATTGAAAAGACCTAACAAGAAGAAGCATCCTTATAAATGCAAGTAAGGCACAGGATTTAGGTGGATAATGCTGAGGACATTTTGCATGAAATATGCTGAAAGTAATAGACACACATTGTTGTGAGAAATCAAAAGAGGTTTCAAATGCTTTTGAATATAAATCAGAGGAGCACAAAGRACTGCAGCTCACATGTCTTCTATTTTAAATCCAGCAAAATAATATTCAGATTATTTTCCTATAAACATGTCCTTRCAAGTTGTATGCTAGCTAACTCAAATGCAAGCTTTTATAAAGGTATATGGCACGAAAACAACACAGGAAAAATGATACAATGTGATACTATTAAAATGAAAATTAGTCAACCAGATTTAAACCTGAGTAAAATCSTGGCTCCGTGTCAGATTGGGAGTTTTGCCAAAAATTTTAATAGGTTGAGAATTTCACTATTTGCTTTCTGTGACAGAACAAAAAGAGAAATAAGATTAAATATAACCAAAGAAGGGRAAGAAAATTCATACGCACATTTAGCTCAAGTATATATTCACATAGGTATGGATTTAATGTATAATGACAGCTATTGCTGTTTATCAATGTGATTTAAAATTTTTAATGAAGCTTTAGATTTGTATCTTTTTTACCTATTTTATGCCTGTATGTAGTGGGGAAAACCAGTGCAAACTCAGAYTGGGGGCTTTCTGTGGTTGCAGTTTGCTTCAAGTGTCACAGACTGGAGATTAAACAAGGATTAACAGTGAAAGGAAATGTAGCAGGAATTCTGACAACCCAGATACCAATTTRCTCAAGAGCGCCACTGGTAAGGAATACCTGTGCATATGTGAATAGAAGTATCATACTGAGTAATTATTTTCTAAGTGGATGATATTTGTGCTCAAGTATGGTTCTATCAAGTCCTGGGAAGTTATTTATTTAAATAATCTGCCCATTATAAGGCATTTTTTTCAATGTGAATAGAGTGCCTTCRTCCCTGCACATGAATCAAAAGATGACTACTACTTTACCAGCTGCAGGATGATGACAGCATGAGCAGAACACACATATTTTCTTCCTAGATGCACTGTTTCTTCTCCAAGAGGTTATTTTTAAAATTTGCTATTGTTTTGACAGTGCAACATTATCCTTCGACATAAAGACTTCAGAGAAAGATTGATTTGTTTGTATTCATAATGATTCAGTGGTCCTTAAAAATTGTTTAGTCTTTGGCATAGGAAAAGCAAAGAATTTGTCTTTCTGGAGCAACTCCAGTTTCCTTCAGTCCCAGAAGTTCCTGATGAGCTAGGAAGTATTAGGGAGAAAAGGACACCACCTCCACTGTTTTCTCAGTGAGGAAGGCTTAAGAGACAGAAGTCATGGTATCCATAGGTGAGGGCCATAAAAGAGGAAAGGCAGGTGTCAGCTCCAGTTTGGCCAACTCCCTGAGCAGTATGGTGGGAATACAGACTGAAGTAGTCTTTCCAGAGCTTTACAAAGCCAATTGCAGTTTACTTACAATACTGGGAGCAGTCACAGATTACTCGTGAGACACATGCTAAGATGTAGACTCCTCTGCTCTGAGTCATGCTCCCCCTGAATGTGCTGTGGAGTCACACCTGAGGTCAGCAGACTACTCTCATTCTGCCTGGCACCTTCAGCACCTCCTGGCTGCGTGCCTGGGGTGACTTGATCTGCATCACTGCTTGCCTAGTGACTTGGTTGCTGTGTGATCTTTTAAACCAATTTTCCCAGCTGGAGAACAACCAGCTCACTTTTCCACGAGGGTGTCAACAGGATTAATGATTCTTCATTGTTAGAATGGACCTTTAGTCCCCTGAGCACCAGCACAACCTGGAAACAAAAGAAAAAGGTACTTGAGAAAAAAAAAAAAAAAAAAAAATTTGAAAAAAAAAAGAAGCCTTGAGTTTCCCAAATGGAGCATACATCGATGAATAGCATACATACACAGCACGTTCATGATCTCATATAAAATTAATTAATATTAAAAAAAAAAAGTTTAATATTCTAGAAATGGTTGCATTACATAGGGGTAATTAGTTATTAGTGTGTAAAGAATTGTCCAAACTCATGAGAAGTCTGTTTAAATGCTTCTTTTATCTTCTGGGTACATTTATAAGAGGGTCATAGTAGTAGTAGTAGTAATTTGTTAGCTGGAAAACTACTTTATATGTTCCATGTTTTAGTTACATGGGAAAACCTAAAGAGAAGTAAAAATTATATAATAAAGAAGCCTCATCCTTAACTCAGAAAGTCTATTTGTGCCTTGAATAAATACATAGATTTGTTAATTTTTAATTTCTAATTTACATACTTTTTCATCTCTTTCATTTATAAAGTGTCGTGATTTTTGCAAGTTAAGGAACAGCAGCGTTTGGAAAGTAGCCCAGAGACCACTTTGCACTATCAAAAAACTATATGATTTTTATGAGGTATGAGATTATCACATTGATATACCTCAAATACTGGAATAGGGTGCTGGAGGAAACTGAATAAAATTGAGAGGTACAGACCAAGTTGTTCCAGTATTTACTGTTCTGAGTTGCTGTGTACAGGAACACTTGGAGGAGAATGCTGCAAGGAAAAGTGAGCATGTCGCGTCAGTAATCAACAGACCTCTTTACCCACAGCAGCAGTGAAGGCTGTGTCTCATTACACCAACAGTAGGAAAAACTGCAGTCTTGGAAGGTAAAGTTACAAGTTGAGATAATGGCTGCAGGCACCCAGCAGACTGGAGGGGTACATCTAATTGAAAAGTGGTCTCATTAGGCAGAGGCAGAACCACTTCCACACAACAGTTATTTCCCCACTTCCTGCACATCTTCAGGGTGCAAATTTAATGACTCTTCAAAATGAGTCACTCAAATACAAGGAAATACATCATCACTTTTGCAAGAGCATGACAGCAACATTCAGCAACAGATGCCTTTGCAGGAATCCTGCAGTCCTAAGAACAAAAGAAACCTCTGAGAGGAGGAAGAGTGAATTCATGGTGGTGCTACTGACTCTCTCGGCTGTAGCTGTGCCACTTTTGTCTTGGAGGTGACGTTGTAATGAGTTTCAGTGGCTGTCAGTATCAGGAAGGTTCATGCAGGAATCGCTGTTTTAACAGGACATATAATTAAATACTGTAACAAATATGAGACAACACACATCTGAAGGCATAACAGCCCATTTCAAAATTAGATGCAGGACTTGCTCAGTGAAGTCTGTGGCTGCTTTATTCAGTGAGTCAGCCTAATTGCTGATTAATTAATTCTGATCTTTTAAGTGAATGTACTGTTGCTCTTTGTTACATTAAAAAATTCAACCATAAAAAAGAAAAAAAAAAACCAAAAAAAACTCACCCAAAAAACAAACCAGGAAAGAAAACACAGCCACAGGGGAGTCGGCAGAAAAAATGTTTGCTAAAGAGACGTAAATCAAGGAGCTGAATCCTGCACTCTGCCTCTCTGGCACACATCTGTGAGCCTCAGAAAGAGAACTGTGAGCTAAGGGGAGACCACCAGGGAAGCTGAGATTCCAGAGATTGTGCATAATTCCTGTACACCCCAGTGGTTTGTTTGKTTGGTTGGTTTGTTTTGAGATTGGTTGATTCATGGGCATTACTGAGCCTTGCATCTTGACCACAGCTGACAGGGCTTTCAGTCACTGTGACCCTGGGAAGAGGTTTTCATGGACAAGACACTGACCACTGCAATTTGGAAATGGTTCCAGAACAAATGCCTTTAGATTAGATGAAATACAGAAATCATGGCTCTAAACATGAAGTTTTAATCCAACAGAGTATGGAAAACTGGGCTTTTGATGGAAAAAGATTACAGTGAAGTTATTACCATGAACCCATAAATATCAGTTTGGGGTTTTCAAATTACATAGCTCCACTTTGTACTAACTCTCTGTCCCAAACCAACTAAATCTCTTGAGAAAGAGTGTGATCAAGTAGGGTGATCTGGAGGATTTTTTTTTTTAAGATGGGAATGTCCAAGAAAAGGAAGGTTAAAGACTTTGGGACAGGATGTTTTGTTTCATGATCATTTTCTGCAGGGGGATGGGGAGAGATGACAGGCCATCTTAATCCCACTTAATTCCTGAGAATTCTTCCCTGATTAGTCACACTCCAAGCCAGGGAAAGGTCTCCTGTTATTCCTGTGAAACAAGGAAAAGTGATAGCAGTGCATGCTCCTGTGGAAATGCACATACATTCCTGCCCTTTATTTTCTAATTCATGGATGAAAAGTGACTGTAAGGATCAGTGTGAACAGAAGCAAAAAGAGCTAAATACAGCTGACAGCTACTGATGCATAAGTAATACGTGAGTATTATGGCAGTTTGTCATAGAGTTCAAGGATTAAATAGAGTTTCAAAATTATGTGTGACAAAAAAAAATTGATACTAAATTCACAGAATTAAAGGAATCTTCAGGTAGCACCACATCCTGCACCACCATAATCAATGGGAGATTTATCAGACCCATCATTGCCCACACTCTGGGACTGTGGGCCTAAAGCAAGGACAAACCTGTAGTAACTATCTCTATCAAAAGTTTTTTCCAAGAACATTGCAGTATACTAGGTGGCAGAATTTGGAAACTGACACATGCCCAAATTTTCAAGATGAGTAAACACGTACATTGAAGTTTTGAGAGACAATACATACAATGTGATCCATTTCAAAGCAGGTCAGTATGAATACAAAAAGTAGAAAATGGCACTTGTTCAGAGACTGAAATTGTACAGTAATCCTAACCTCTCTATGATCCGTTCTAACAGAGGTGTCAAATATTCCAGTTTTCACAAATCTTGGGGAAATTATGTCAAAGGCTGAAGACACAGTAAGGTGTCTTTGATACATAACTATTTATTTGCAAATACTAACAAAAATATCTTTCCCTGAATATGAGGAATTCCTCTACCAAACCTTATTAAACTTACTGGCTGATCTGATAATTCCTGAAGATCTTTTTCATCAAGGATGTATTTCATCTGATTCTGTGACAAATGAAACTTGGTGTCTACATATTTCTAGCTCTGAAACAGATTTGAATTTTTTGGGATGGGAAACTAACTCTGTTTGAGATCTCTTGTAGTTTCAACTTAAACCATAATTTTACACAAATGCAAAGATGCAAATGCAGATATTATCTGGTGGGTTTTTTCCATACTGCAGTCTTCTTGCTCAAATTTTAAAAAAAAGGGTAAATCAACTTTCAGTCTGCTCAGAAACTTCCCCTTCCTGCTCCCCATTTATTTCTCTAATTTTTTTCCCACATCCTGACATGTTGAGTGGTTTGCGGATCTACACAGTCCACAGGAGTCTGAGCAACCAAAGTACAACAAGCAGGACAAGGTAAGGAGGAGCATTTATCAAAGAACAGTGGGATAGTGAGGAGCAGTGGTATGGTTGGAGGGTTAACTTGAGATCAAAACTGCTGAGCCTATTTGACTAGACACAGGCCGAACAATTACTCCAACAATAAACAACTTTATAAAAATCGGTTCCTAGAACTGTGCTTTGAGAGCATTTTGGGGGTGTTCAGGTTATGAAAAGTGTAGTTGCTTCAAGCAGTATTTGTAGCCAAAGGCATATATTGAAGTATTCTACCAATGTTAGTCTGCCATTATTTGGCAGACTTAACAGCCAAAGTGATAAGTTCCTTGTAGTGAATAGGCACTTTATCCAAATTTGATTCCTGTGGTCTCACCTGTAGAAACCTTTGCCATATCTCTCTTTCCATGCTATAGTTTGCTTTTGTTTTGTTCCCCATTTTGTTCTCCATTTGTTGTTCTCTCTTTGTGCTTTTATTTCAACCAAAATGTTTGACCCAAAAAAAAAAAAAAAAAAAATAAATCAGTAGGCTGCTGAATCAGGAGGAATGGAACTTAGAGTGATAAAAAACTACTGCATAAATTCATGACACATAACTGGTGGTACTTCACTGTACTGATTTCATATATATTCATAATGTTAACTCTTCACTATTTGTCAAAGAGACTGTGGTTCTGAACCACATTTTTCCCTCATCTGTAATTTTTTTGTTRTTTTTCCTTTCATAAAAAAATAAACTAATTAAAGAGTGAGGAGAATCCTTATTTAAATTATCAGCCTCATTTTAGCAATCTAAGTTAAACAAAACAAAATTTTCTGCTCCTTCAAATCAGCTTAATTAATCCTGTGAGAACTAAATTAATCTTTATGTTGACTGTATTAAGGCCCCTTGTTAACTGGCAGAATCATAAGCTCATTATAAGTCTCAGTATTCATGAGGAATACAGAAATAAGATCTCCAAGTACAGTTATGAAAGTAGAAATAAAAACTATCTACTTCAAAAACATTTTTATAAAAACATTAGAAACAAACCCATAGTCTTTTACATCCTATGCTTCAACATTTTTCTATTTATTTAAAAAAAAGGGAAAAACTTGATCTTTTTTTCTTCCAGAAATGAAAATCAGCTTAAATAAAAAAATAAAAAAAACCAAAACAACACAAAAACAAACCAAAACAACCCAACAATATAAAAAATGCAGCTRTTTTTTCACTGCTTAGAAGAATTGCATCTGATGAATGCATGTGTAGCTTTTATTTGCACATGCAGATAATCAGGAGCGCTGACTGAATTTCCTTGTCAGAACAGGAGGAAAGTTGAGTCATTGAGATTATTTTTCTTTATCATGAAGGACTCTGGAGACTTATCTGGGTCAAGGAGTACTAGCAAAATTTTTTCTGCTGCCTCTGCTGTTTTCAATCATTGTTTTCACAAAATCTTTAAAAATGTAGTTTTTAAAATTTAAATAATAAACTAACTTGAATAAGCCAGCAGATCCAAAATCTGTTTGGGATAACAAGGCTGACAGATGAGCATGTAAAAGAGCATACGGACTCATTGATAAGTGTATTTTCCATGGATAATYATGGAAATAGTCATGGAATCACCTCAGGTGATCTCTTTTTTTCCTATGAGAAAAAAATATTTCAGCTGGAAATAATTTCATTTATTTGAGAAATATCTTCTGAAAAAAAACTCATCCAGCTCTTTCTGTAACCCTCTGACTTGATGTAGGGACAAAATTCACAAGAGAGATGGATGGATGCATAGTATTTGAGTGTTGTGAAATGACAATTATTCAATTTGAAATGAAAAATTTCAAATTGCAATGAAATTTCAGTTATTCACTATGTTTCTCAGCATTGAAGAGTTATTTGAGAAACAACAGATCTTTGGCTGAGAAACAGATTACTTGATAAAATTAATGCTCTCAGTTCAAAAGATTTGCCACTTGCATTTTTTTGTGGCTGTTTTCATCTGGAGTAGTTTTCTCAATCTTTATGTAGTGAAGCTCTTGGTGGGTAGATAGAAACAGAAAYATGTTTAAATGTGGAGGTGTGGTTCATCAGACTGATGTCCTTTCTGAAACATYGCTGGTTGCAACAGTGATAAACTTGAAACCAAATTTAAGGGGGGGCTTAAATTGGCAAGAGTCAAGTCACGTCCTTGTTTTTCAAAACCGACATTGAGTTTAGAAAGAAGTGTTAGTGTTCCAGGGTTTAAATTTGAACAATCTGTAAGATTGYTCTCCAGATCTCTCTGCACAGCCTCTCTGCCCTGGAGGAAGTCCGTGGCTCCTCCTAATTTAGTATCACTCTCAAATTTACTCAGGTACGTTTGGCTTGTGCATCCAAACTATTTATAAAAACACYGAAAAGCACAGACCCTAAACTTGAGCCCTGCAGAGCCCCACAGTGACCGACCACCAGCCTGGTGCAACCACATTTATTGAAAATCTGTGAACCTGACCTGCCTGCCGTTTGTTCACCGATGGACCACGGACTTTCCCAGTCATCTCGAGGCTTATGGTGTTAGATGTCAACCATCACGGCCTCCTCGGAGAAATGGTCACAGCACCAGCCTGTCACAGTTCAAAAAGTACTTGGACAAAGCTTGTCAGACCCATGGTGTTTTTGGAAATGATACAACATGGAGCATTTTTTATGTAACTTTAGTCAGGGGTTTGTTCACCTCTGCCCAGGGGGAGGGAAATTGAAGTTTCTCTTCAAAAGGCTCAAGCCTGGGCAAGGTGTGACGATCTTAAYATCAACAGGTTGGGAGTAGCCAGAAGATACACAGGAGATAAGGGAACATTAGTGAACATTACCCCCTGGAGCTGTCACCTGATCTGGGAGAAGATTGATAAGAGAGCTAAAGCATTAGCATCGAGGGGGAAGGGATAAATAACTGAGATGGAATACTAACAATGGTGTAATTTGGAACCAATGAATGAGAATTTGTCTGTGTATTGTATGTATAATTATGTGAAAAATCAGATAAAGGACCCCGTGAGATGGAATGACTCTGCAAAACCCGGGCMTGTGTGGATTAAATAATTTTTATTGCACATCCTGGGCAGAATAACATCCTGTCTAGAATAAAGTAATGCCTAAATTCTTTAACACTGAAAAGATATTGTTGAAGAGTTTYTGTTTTTCTTGCAGTTTTGGGGACAGTGTGACTCTTCGGCCAGGAGCTGGACTTGATGATCCTTGTGGGCCCCTTCCAACTCACTGTGGTCAGTGATTCTACGATAATGCTTTAGTAAGAGAGGCTGTTTGCTCTCAGTAAAAAATGCAGCTCTTTTGGAATATCAGATGCAGTTGATAAACAGATGCACAAAATTACATGCTCTGCCTACTATGAAATGTACAACAAAGCAATTGCCAAGAACTTCCAGTTTCAAGGCAAGATGCTGGCTATGGGAATACACAAAYAAATAAATATGTAAGTGAATAAGACTTTCATGTTTGGCAGTCAGATCAATTGTAATGGTGGAAACTCTGAAGCTAATCGGTCTCCCATACATCCCAATAGTTAGTGGAAATTTCAAGGAAATCTGAAAGCTGAATGAATATCACATTACTAATAGATGGTATGAAACCACTTYCAGTAAAATACTTTGTGTTTAAATGTCCTGGTGATCACAGAGAGTAGTCAAGGTGCTGTTAAAATAACAAGCATTGTGGAACTCAAGTGAATACAAATCATATTTAAAAATAAAGGGAATTGAAAAATAGTTGCTGGAGACTGTGGCGGTGTAGACAGAAACAGGATCCTGCCTTACGCCGCTTGGGTCTGCCGTTTACATTCCTTTACACTGCATGATAATAACTGCATGTAAATCAGATGCTGCAGCTTAGGATGGCCTTGAGGCATGAGCAAGGGCTTCAACATAACAAAATGATGCCGTTGTGGTTGAATATCCSTAATTAACAGTTAGAGTGCAAGTTCTTGGCAGCATTTCTCTGGTAAACTCCTATGTTCAAGGCTTCATTATCTTTGGGAGTTAAATTCATGTGGAAATCAGCAGTTGTTTTGTCTTTGTTGAATTTTGAGTGCAAAGAAGCTGAATCTTTAATATGAAATAAATTGTATCAAAAGCAGAAGGCTGTTGCTTCCTATAAAGTAGAATTACATTAAAAAGAATGTAATTAGTATTTGCATGCCTTGAACTTGGWCATAAACACATCAAAATATGGTAAATTATAGCAACACGTAGACTTTTACTAACACTGTTGATGCCTTGACTAGTACTGACCTGTAAGCATCTTGTAAATGCCATGAAGCATCAATGTATAAATAATACTAAGCTACAAGGAGACTTGTGATAGTGCGGCACAGCCAAGGTGCAGGAATACACCTGTACAGTAGTTCAGGTAGAAAACCTGGGCGATGAGGATCGTGATCACARAACACAGGGAAAACAGGAAAAATCTGTAGAATAAAGAGGAAAGCTGGCTGGTGAGACCCTGCCCCTGAAATCAGATAAACAATCCCAGGTGAAGATGAGATTCCCCGTATTTTTRTTATTGTGTTGGAAGGATCAAGAAGCACAACACGACCAAAGGCATTGAAATAAGGATGGAACATACCCYCTTTTGATTTCAGCTTCTCTCCTCTTCATCAAAGGCTTCCAAGCCAGAGCAGCTGGACCTTRGTTACTAACACAGTGGAGAAGTTTAGCCATCAGCACTATCAGCATGGCATCAACTCCTCCTTTACAGCTAATTTCAGGCAAGATTATGAAGAATTGGTTTTGAAAAAACAATGGTATTGATGGAGAGCAAATAAAAGCTAGCCATTGACAATGTGTATTGTTAGTCAGTGTCAGTTTAGCACAGTTTTGTTTTGAAGACTGAAAGAGGCCTGATGTATTGATCTCCTGTACAGCCCAGTGCAAGAAAGAAAATAAAAAGGAAAGATAAATCTGGGGGAGTKTCACAAAGCTGGTATACTGTATGTAATCATTTGGGTAAAAAATACTGATTTYAAGTATCAGGCCAACTCCCTTGTCATGCATTAATGTTGATTTTTATTATTTTTGCCTTAAGAAGTTGTGAACATCTCTCTGGTGATTGCTKTTTCAAGGCCATGCATCATTATCATTAAGAAACATGCTAGTACTTCTTATGTAGGAAGTTAAACTCCTTAGCGATTCTGATAACTTTCGTGAACTTTCCTCGAGTGACTTTGGTGGCACCTGGTGGTCTCTGTGGCTAAAGCCGGAATAGTTGGTCTGTATCGGGTTTGTGTGGCAAGGTACTGGCAGCAGGGTGACTGCAGGAATGATCCTAAAGAGCAGGAGCTGCCCCGGTGATGGGCAGAACAAGCACAGGCTGTCTCCAAAACAGACCCACAGCTGCCCTAAGCTGACCAGTCGGCAGCACTGGTGGCACCTCCGTGACAACACTTTCATTTACTGAGTTAAAAACCTTATACAGCAGCTGTGACAGGAGTGAGAAAAACGTAGACTGCAGACATCAAAGTCAGTGAAGAACGAGGGCAGGAGGCGCTTCAGGCGCCGCAGCCCGCGGGGAAGATGGTGGTGGAGCAGGTTGTTCCCCTAAAGGCAGTAAGGATAGTGGCGGTGCAGTTGTTCCCCTAAAGGCAGTAAGGATAGTGGTGGAGCAGTTGCTCCCCTAAAGGCAGTAAGGATGGTGGCAGTGCAATTGTTCCCCTAAAGGCAGTAGAGGATGGTGGCAGTGCAGTTGCTCCCCTAAAGGCAGTAAGGATGGTGGCAGTGCAATTGTTCCCCTAAAGGCAGCAGAGGATGGTGGCAGTGCAGTTGTTCCCCTAAAGGCAGTAAGTATGGTGGCAGTGGAGTTGCTCCCATAAAGGCAGTAAGCATGGTGGCAGTGCAGCTGTTCCCCTAAAGGCAGTAAGGATGGTGGCATTGCAGTTGTTCCCCTAAAGGCAGTAAGGACGGTGGCAGTGCAGTTGCTCCCATAAAGGCAGTAAGGATGGTGGCGGTGCAGGTTCTCCCCTGAAAGGAGCAGATATTGATGCTGCAGATCTTGGGGGACAGCCATCACAGTCTAACCTTGCCAGCAGCTCATAGTACGCAGCTGTTTCCTCACCTGCCCCTCCCTTGCACCACTCTCTGTGGCGTGGAGGGGACAAATGAGTACAAGAAAAGTCTAAAACTCATGGGTTGGGATGAAGACAGTTTAATAGTTGAAACTAAAAGAAATTTAATTATGCCCAGACTGTTCCCCAGAAGAAATTAGCAGCTGCCCCCATACACTGGGCGTGATGTTCTGTGGTGTGGAATATCCCTTTCACCAGTTTTTGACCTGCCTCAGAGCAGTTTGTGAAGGACTGTACCCTGTAGAAGGGACCTCTTGTTGTAGCAGATACGAGGATGATGAGGAAGAAGTGGCAGAGATGAAGAGTAATGAGCAAGACCACAGCCTCTGTTCCTCATTCTCTACATGGTTTTTGTGTGTGTGTAGTAGTAGAGGAGTCARGAAAGAAGATAAGCTCCAAAAGAAGAGGGAGGTGGAGGAAAGTGGTTTTAGTTTTGTTTATTATTTCCTTCTACTCTTAATTGGCAATAAATTAATTTTCTCCGTTTTGGCCATGCTGGTAACTGATGACTGGTCTCCCAGTCCTTGTCTCAGTGCATGGTGTTTCTCTTGGTATTTGTTCACCTGTCCTGTGGAGTAGGGGGAGTGAGAGTTGGATGGGAGGCTGGCCCAGACCTGGGAGCTGGCTGGAGGTGCTGATTTCTTCTGGGAGACAGTCTGGGCATAATTCAATTTTATTTTATTTCAATTATTAAGCTGTTTTTATCACATTGTCTCACATAGCCCTATTCTGTTATTGTCGCTAGCACCAGTGGACCACAGCCCTTCCAGCATGATAAGAAGCCAACTACAGTGCAGGTTAGGCATATTAGAAAAACAAGTTTTCTATAAAAAACAGAAGYAGCCTAGCTATGAATGCACTTACTTGCTGGGAACAAAATAGTTTGATACTGCAAATTAATTTTTAAAAGCTTTTACTGCCATGAAAGCAGCCACTGCAATGCACAATAAAAAGATGCTGGTGTACCTGCCTTTCTGTAGCTAATTGAGGTTAAATCAAGCTACTGAGACATACTGCTTATTTACATGGTAGTGAGAATACTTTTAGCTATAAGATTCAAAACACAAACCCCCTCCCATTCCTAGTTAATTTTTCTGATGTAAAAAAAATCACTTTTTCATAGCCGTGAGCAGATGCTTAAAATCCTATTGCGTGGCTGGAAGCAGGAAGCTTACAAAAAAACATTCACAGTGAGAAAGGAGGTGAAGCATGTGTGTGTGTTTGCTAATTTCTGAATCATCAGGCTGACCAAACTCACAAGACTAGAAAGAAGAAATGATCAATGTGATAGTATAGAGCTGAGGCAAAAYTGACTGGTCACCAAGCCAGATTAAAGAGGAGCCCTACACATCAGCTAGCCTTCAGTTTTCATCAACCATTATACTTCATCTGAGGGAACAATAATAATAATTWAAAAAAACACATTACAAWGGGTAGTTAAATTTTAAAATAACCTTTATATGTAGCATAAACAAGTATCTGAAAATCAGAGTAATCTGAAACTTTTCCTCTTTGAACCTACAGTAAGTTTTAAGATTGCTGTGGTCTGACTCATACTTGGGAGGGCAGCCTTCTGGCCTGCTCGGTCCAAAAATGAATACACTTTTACACACAAAAAGAGCGATGTTTTATCTAAAACCCATGTTTGCCAGAGAAAAGCGACCCTGTAATAAGATTTTCTACAGTCTAATCTCACCACTTACACTGTTTTTACAGAGCAATTTTTAAAGAAAGGTAAGCAGTTCTCTGAATAGCTGGTTAGTTACTATGCTGTTAGGATTATATTTTACTATTTTGTAATCAGTTGCTGACAAGAGATTTGAACTCATTTTACCATCCCAGAGTAAGGTATGATCCTTTTCCTAAAACAGACTAAATAATTTACTCTTTCTGACCAGATATTGACAAGATACCATTTACAAACTTATTTTAACTATCTATTATTTGATTTCTTTGAACTGTAGTCCTCTCCTCTTTTGTGTTTTGTTTCTGCCTTGTTGAACAYAGCACAGTCTGAGGACAGATAAAATCTGAATTCCAAAGGCAGGCAGCCAGCAGCAAAAGGCACTTTTGGAGATTTGATCTTCCTGTTTCCAGTTTACTCTGTTCTATCACTGCCCAAGAAACCTCCTTGCTATCCGTGCTGATATCTGTTGCTTGCCAAGTTCAGGAACTCCTTTCTGCTTGCAAGTGAAGAGAAATGCAATTTTTCCATGGCTTAGAGAAAAGTGTCATTTTGGTTGCAACAAACTGCAAAGTGCTRAGAACTTTTGAATATTTTCCTTGGAAATGGTACTTTTTGCTTTAAGAATTTGTAAGCACTTTATCTAACATTTAAGTATACCACTTACCATTTTTGCTCATTATTCCTGACCAGATGGTGGGGGTATCAGAAACAAGCTTTTAATTCTCCAAGGGGGGCTGTTATTACGCTGCAATTACGCACTTCGTAGAAGAGAACATACAGATATAACCTCCTCAGATCCTTATGATCCTCAGACTATTAGGTGTAGTTTAAATCTGTAGTGTCCCCAACACAGAAGAGGTTTGTTCTATTTTTGCATATCTACCATGGTTAAGTATAAAATTATATATTATATTGCATAATATATATACATGCAAATAAATGCTAGCATAAAATACACACATTAAAATTTTGTTTTCTTAAAAGAAAAATCAAAATGTTTGATTCATAAACAAGACTTCCATMTTTAGGACAAGTAACAAACATGTAATAAACAAATTCCCCATTACAAACTTTGAAAATTGTCTTCTAAAATACATTTTCAATTAATAGGGATACATCACACACCATTTATTTTCAAGGCCAGATTTAAAACAGTAGTGATTTGCCTTGACACCWGATAGTATACAACAACCTGTTTATATCCAAAAGGAAGACATACCTTAATGCACAGAAACAGATGACTGAAATGTCTGTCCTTATCAATTTGAGGGTGAAAAACTAAGAGAACCTGAAACAGGAGACAACTGCTTTTCCACAAAAGAAACAGAAATTATTCACCTTTAAAATACTGCCACATGGTTTATATCTGGACCCTTCTCTATGAAGCTATAATTATGCCCTTAGCCTTTCCAAAATCTCTGCATTGCAGGCGATGGCTATGATTTTTATTTTTGTGATGATTCAGCTGACATACCCGTCTGTTTTGTTGTATATGAGACCCATTCTTATCCTAACCTTACAATACAAAATCATAGCACTCACATACAACCAACAATCACAAATTTCATAGGGCAGATAGGCTTTTTTTCCCCCTCTGCTTTTTAAAGCTCACAGAAGTAAAAGAGATGAATTTTCAAGGRTCTCATGAAAAATATTGAGTGAAAAGGGAAAATGTGCTAAAGATGGTGAGGTAGAAATTTAATTAAAATATTGTTCCATAGTTGAAAAGCAGCCAGCTGAGCAACCTGCTGAGATTAAAATCCTATTCACCGTTTTTGAAACTAGACTTCCACCATGCTTTTCTAGCTGGGTCTTTGTACTAGCACATAAGAGCTCAGTTGTTCATTTGGCTCCGGGTTGTTCCTGTGATCTTGGTCACATGAGGAGGATTTCGGCCGACTGTTCACATTCCTTTAAACTCTTGCATAATAGAAAGCAGTTGCTGAACATGCTGCTGGAACACTCTGCTGTTCTTCTAGCCCCTCCTCAGCATGGAGAATGTCCTCCTGCAGGGACAGTGGTCCTAAAGCTTTAGATGAAATGTTGAGATAGAGCAATTAACAGGAAGAATGATTTACGCCTTGCTACCCAGTCATCCTCCATCCAAGCTTTAYGAGTTCTAGAGAGCTACTGCTCTGGCAAACTGAACTGCATACAGAGTGTGCCCTGTACTACAACAAACCCAAAGAAAACACCACAGAAATACACAGAGACAGGACTTCACAAAATTAGTCTACATAGTTAAGTGGTAGAGTTTTAATTTTGAACATGCACTCTATAAAGAAAAATAAAAAAGGGATTATTCAATTCTGGATTTGCTGGGAGCAGTCTTTTCTCATGTGATGCTTCTGCAAGGTAGAAAAYGTTTACCTCAGAGTAATTACCAGGGCTGACAGTGGATTTCAGGAGTTGACAAGATTGTAGTCTTTTTCTTTCCCTGCTARTGTTGCCCAGTGTTCCAGGTCACATTCTATAAAGGAGCAATAACATACAGACAGATTCTCTTCTGCCCAGCCCCACTCAACCCCACAGGTACGTTTAGCCTGGCCAAGAAAGAGCCCTTCCTCATCCTCAGAACTAGAGGAATCAACAGCATGAAGTGCTGGCTGTGGCTACAGGATGGGAACAATCCTGTCTCCTGCCATCAGGAAGCACAGGCACGTGTCAGGCCGTGAGACTCACAGTCAGGTCTCCTCTACTGTCTCTTAGGGGAGGGTCATAATTTCCAGTGTTAAAAGACTGACCGAGGGAGGCTGGAAAAATTCAAGAGAGTTGGCACATGATTGTTTGTCCCATACACTGTTCTTATAATTCAGGACAGTGCAGTTGACCTAAAGACTCTCTTTGTGGATGCTGGAATATGAGTTTGTGATGCACGASTCTCCTTGCCATCCAAGGTGACAGCCAGTGTATTTTGTCCTTTGCTGTTTAATCACAGGTCCCATAAGTCAGTCACATCTGAAGAAAGGAGACTAACTCCTTCATGGATCAGCACGACCTCCTGGTGATGGGAATGGTGTTGTCTCAGTTCAAGCTCCTGTGTGTAAACTCACTGCYGAAGAGAGGATGCTCCTTCAGAAAGCACTTGACTGGCAGGAAGCGTTTTTCTGTCACTGGATATCTTTCCTGCCAAACCCCCAAAGGCTGAAGAAGGATTTGCAGAAAGCTGCAGGTGGGTGGGGTGGCACCTGAGAGCCACCAGGGAGCAATGAGGGACAGCAGCTGTGATGGCACTGCCAACCCCCTGCTCCAGCTCAAGTTCTGCTTCTGTCTGACAAAAKACCCAAGGCCATGTCTTCATCTACTTATCTTGCGAGAAGGAAAAACACCCAATTTTCATCTTGAAGTGCCTCTCCTTGTTATGACTGCAGAAGGCTGCATCTGCCCTTGYTGTGATAAAGGACAGGTCTTTCTTTTTTCTTTACTTTCTTTAGTAAAGAAAGCCTCCCTTCACATGGACCAATTACAATGGTTTAARTATATTTGTCTAATAAAGCAATAGAAGAAAAAGGGGTTTGTTATCTTCCTACAAAACAAACTCCTTTTTGATTCAGTTCCCAATGTGGATGTTTCATAGTAATAAAAAATTAGGGGTCCGGTAGAGCTGTGGTGGAAAAAATGTGTTTGGTATTTATGCAACTGTTCCATTCCCCCATGTCCACAAAATATAACTRAGAAGTTGAATAAAAACCCAAGTACAATATTTGAAAACAATTAAAACTGTTACTCAGAACCAGCAGTCACTGAATTGTTCTAACTGTTCCCTGGAGTATTTAGACACTGGAGGCTGTGTATCATGTTGGTATGCAGTATTGGAGAAAAAAGAAAATTGTTTTGCACTAAGAACTGTGCTCAAAACACATGTAAAAAGGATTCAAATGGAATGTGAAGTTATACTCACAGTTGTATGATCTCGTTTGGAAAAAGTTTTCCCTAAGTTTATAGATCTCTCTCTCTTCTTTCCTTGTCATTCTCCAACCTGGCTTTGAGCCACACTTTGTTTGGGTTTTTTACTTTCYGAGGATCCAGTGCAGTTCACGTTTTAAAGATAAAAGACTGCAAAAAAAGAATAAACAGCCTAGTATGTATTTAGTTTAATATGTCTCCCTGTGATTTTACAGATGAAAACATAATCCAGTGTCTCAGAGAGGTCACTTTACTGATAAAATTGCTTGGAAGAAGATTCCCATTCAACTCGATGTCTTCCTCTACATTGTATTCCACTTACTTTTCTGTTTAGTAGGCAATGAGAAATGCTGCAGAGTGCAGGCATTTACCACTTGAGTGTCTGGTCCTACATATCCCCGTCCACATTCCTGTGGCTCAGTTTTGCTTGCTGATGTATGGTAATCAGTGAATGCACCTGAAAAGTTCAATTTGTGAGTGAAATCTAAAACTTTTTTCCTCTGTTCTTCCTCTGAAGACATTCAGCTGCACTGCATGTCTTCAAATATCCCAAGGAAGAGACACAAACCACATATGAGATCATTGGCAGGGGATTCCTGGAACAGATCCTACACAAGTCTGAAGATGCACAAGTAAGGATTATTTTTGTAAATTCGGTCTTCAAATTGAACTCCAGCATTTATGAGTGCTTAGCTAACAGCCTAAAAATGTTGCTTCAAAGAAGTTGTTTACAAATTAATAGAAAAATTGCAAATGAGAATTAAAAAAAGCAAATTAGCAATTTAGGATATGGAAAAAGTGGTTAGAAATTATACAGCAATGTATGGCTACAAAAAAAAAAAAAAGCACAAGAAGAATGTGCAGCCATGGAAATTATATAATTGTACTTACTGAGGTTAAGTAAATGAACCATACATACAAAATCTGGCAATGATGGAAGCATATAATTATTGATGTTGTACTAGATTTAAATAGACCAAGTTTTAAAAAGATGAATTTTAGGATTATTGAAATCTCTACACAGGAGCTATTTACAGCCTTTGCTACAGTCCATATTTACCCTAGAAGTACTCAATTTTTATTTTGAAATAGCTATTTGTTAGGGAAATACGAATAGACTATTACAAGGATTTGTTTGCAGTTCCTAAAATGATTTTTCCCCCTGACCACTGGGAGGCAGTTTGGAATCTTAAATATGTGTTGAGGAATTAATCATCAATAAGTTACAGAAAATTGCATCTTAGAAAATGTACATGAGACATACTAGGCATTCACTAAGACATACCTTCAAGCTGAAAAGGTCAGGAACAGACAAAAGAATCAACTAAACCTAAGCAATCAAAGAACGTAAGTAAAACTAGATTAAAATTCTAATTGGATACCCTCCTCTAGTAATAAAATGAGCTTTGAGCTTGCCTGTAACCAGGTCCTCTACTACTTATTCTTATAAGTCTTACAGACTTAATAAACCTAAGAGGAACTAAGCTGAATTTGACTGTGATTAATGTACAAATGCAGTTAAATCTGTGTATATTTATGGTGACCCTGCAGCTAGTGAAAGATAATTTTTTCTTTTATCTTCTTATAAACTCTGTGTGCATTCTTATTTGGCATTTATTAGTGGAGTCATTCAGGAAAAAGTGTGAAGATCCATCCTTTACTTGGCTGTTGTTTGCCTGGTTAAAAGAAGAATAGAGAAGAAAAGTGTAACAGCACTGGATAGGAGGTTAAACAGCTGAACTCCAAAGAAGGAAAAAGGTTTGGCTTTTAAGTTTCCATATTCAGTGGACAATATTTTTTATAAAAGCTTGGTTGATTTTAATGCTGATACTTGATTCCAGCTATTGTTGGAATAAATGAATAAGAGATTAAGAGAATAAGTGCTGGGATATACAGTATTCTGGGGATATTTCAGTGGAGTGGTGAAACATTGAATTAGAACCAAGACAATTAGGAGATGAATAGAGTCAGTAAATTTTAAATTCCTTCCATAAACAGCAGAAATCTCTCAGTGGAAATTCAATCTATTCTGAAGAGCTGTAACAACCCATTTGAGTGACACTTGTGAAAAATCACTAAATCTTTTAACAGGAAATCTCTTCAGCCCTGACTCAAGAACTGTTTGCATAGGGAATACGTGCTTTATCAACTCATTTTACAACGATTATTTCTTCAATATTCCTGCTCAATGCCCACAATAATTTTATATCAAACACTTGTCTGTAATTCAGCTGAAAGCTCTTCCAAAGAGGGCTGAATCATTTCATTCAATTAATGTTGCTGTTCAGTTAATATTTTTGGCTGCTGTAAGCCACTCCTTCTGTCAGAAGAATCAGTCCCACTCTCAGCTACCCACGACTTTCACCCACTCTCTTGCTCCAGCACAGTTGTCTGCCTGGCTACAAGGTTAGCTAAATAAGGAACTTGTGCAGATCAAAAATAACTGTTTTACACATTTCTTCCTGTCGCCTAGCTCCACAATTGGCTTTGCTGCATGGCTGCATGAATACTTGTGCAGGAGGAATGAGTAGGACTGTGGCCATTCAAGCTTTAGCAGTATGCTCCAATCACTCTGCTGAAGGTTTCCCAGCATACAAAAGGTTGCAAAAGCAGGAGAAGAATGTGTTTCTGCTGYTCCATATGACGTCTGGAAGCCTATTTAAACTCACTATCATGATCAGTTTAAGACAGTCCTCCATATTTTCCACAGAAGCCTATATTCTTCCCTCTGAGGAGGGATTTATTAAGTGGTGCAATAGACATTGCTTGCATGGGATGGTTTTAGCTTCTATGTCTTTATATCAATGCCTTTAAGTGCAAGAAAACAGAAATAAGAATGGAGGGAACCAAGTGAAAACCTTGTAGATAACAGCTATTATACAATAGATATTCTGAGATGGTTTTGAATATAGATGAGCCATTAAACATCAAAACCAAAATCCTGATGTGTTTAAGAAATAAAAGGGGATCYCAAAAAAGAAGAAAGACCTGCTGAAGCATAGTGCAGGGACTTCATACYCTGGGCTTGGAGACATGAACAGCTCTATGTGAAATTTATGGTTGTGATGAACCAGGTTCAAAAGAGATTCATCCTGTCTGTCACTGTTGAAGAGAGAAGAAACTATTGAGATCAGGAGCCTTTTCAGGCTATTTTTTACATTAAAGTGAAATTGGAAAGGATTCCACCTGTCTAGACCCCAGCAAAATCCTCATGTGTTCTTCAAGAGAGCACAATGAAAGGAAAAGACCAAACACAGAGAAGTAAAGAACTGGAAACTCATACCCCCAAGATGAGAAAACCTAAATGTGAGTTCCTGCTATTCCTGTTGAATAACTCCTTTCACAGTTAACACCTCCGAATGTCTTTATAATAACATGAAAACCATTAGAATGTCATTGCCACAAATAAAAGCCATTATGTGGAAGAGGTGAAATATGAAAGGCATCATCAGGGACAATAAAATTGTGTGTGCATTAGTCTTGTTCAAAACACAGKGAGTGTACAGTGAGTTAGTCACCACCTTTTCAGTGAATTGTGTGGGCAGTCATAATATAGGAAAGGATATGTGATAGAAAAGCACTTTTACAAGGCTACAGAATTAGTAGTTCATATAAATAAAATATGTTTATRTATATTCTTTAAGAAAGATCAGTACAAAACATACAGAGCCAAATCTACTATTTCCTAGTTGATACCAAATAAATTTCTGGTGAAAAGAGGTTCTGTATTGCAGAAAGAAACCCAGAAGTTTAATCTTTCAGAATAGCAGATTGCCTTGGTACTGGTTAACCAAGGGACATAACATCTGGCTAAATTATGTAGTGACATATTACAATGTTTGTTAAGATTAGAAATACCCCTCAACACAAGGTGGAAAAGTGKTGCCACGTTTTCCATCTTGTCTTTTGCAGTGGTAAGCTCATATTCAGAGTAAGGGATCATTTCACCCGAGTCAGCAACAGGTGCACCACAAAACAGGTGTTTGTGTCCTAAGGAAAAATCTAAGAAAACAAGCTCTGACACAAGAGAAGTGAGAAAAAGTCTCAAAGGAGCTTGCTAATGTAAATTTTTCTGCAAAAAGGTATTTAAGTAGGCACAGGACAAATTATATATATATATATATATATATTCAAATTTCAATTGATTTATTTGTATTCTCTCCTGGGTTCTTGGAGATTCATGACAGATAAGCCATGTCAGGACCCTGGATCAAGGGGCTTGTTGTAAATATTTCACTGCATTATCATTAATTTTCTTGAAATTAAAACTCACACAGTATCCATGTGCAATTCATTTATTTATGTTTGTTCATTTATTTATTTCAGCTGGGGAAATGAGGAATGCGGTCTATGTAAGCTTAATTCTGAACTGAATTTATTGTTTTTGTCTGTCATGTTTATTCCTGTCCCAGAGGGGTAGTTCCATGCATGAGAGTTGAGGAGGAAAACTGCATCCAGATGTCTGCTGCCCAAGAAACTTCGTTCATGTAGCCGTTGTTTAAAGGCAACATTTTCAATCTGTGAGGTGACGGAGAGAACACACTGGAGGCACATAAATATACAGAATAACACCGGGAAGGTCATCCCATCCCATTGTACAGGGAGCATGGTAAGTACAGAGAAAGGAAAGTGTGGCTATACTATTGACAGGATAGCACATGATGGTGTCTCCAGGACTCCCATATCCCAAAAGCCTCCTTCAGTCAGTGACCAGGAGGGGGAACTGAAGACATGAGTCTCACACACCATGGGAGATTGCTCKTCACCTTCATTTGGCAATGAGCCAAAGAGGAAATACCATCTGTGAATATGGAACCATTACTYATTACATCAGCCTTGCCTGGAAACCTACCTGCTGCTGCTTTCTCTGTCATTTTTAAGCTTAGTTTTCTTATGGAAAAGTTATGGTGGGTTGAAATTATCAAGTTCAGATTTTCTTCCTAAAAATCTGAGAAGTTAAAATCCAGAATACTTCTTGTATTGMAGTTTTGTAAGTCCAAATGCAAAGATGCTAATGTTTTTAATTTTCTGTAACAAGAACCAGAATATAATTTGAAATGGAAATTTATTTTCAGAAATCTGATGTTGTACATYAGTGTTTCTAGTGGGTGCACATGCAGAATGGAGCAACAGAAAATAGATTAAGACATCTGAAACATACTCAGCTTACAGRCTGTTCTAATTTTTGAAGATGAAGTAATCATAACCCACTTATTTTCTTTCTGAGAAGTGGGTACGTAGAGAAGATGAGCAACAGCAACACAACCCTTCTTTGTAGCACTGAGGATGTACCTGAAGAAGACTCAAGCAGCAGAGCCTGAGCTGGTTATAAAAGTGTCYTTCCAGATGTATATGAGATACCATGATGACACATGGCACATCTCCATCTAATGAATTTATAGGTGCTTAACAAATTTAAAAGAGTATGTTTAGTTGCATAATTAGTATATTGTGATATACTGAGGTGAATTTTCCAAAACAGGAACTCAAATGTCTCAGGGGCTTTCCAGACACCTCTAAAGATTTCTCAGTCTGACCATTCACGAGACTCTGGCAGTCACACTCCCAGCAGCAGAGATYGTCACTRCTGGCACYGAAAYCCTGTCGCAGTGGGTGGCTCCAATRACCCACTT